CGGGCTCTGCTGTCCCCGCCTGTCACTGGGCTGAAGCGTCCGGGGCCTCTCTGCGGGCAGCCGCGACTCGCTTGTCACCGCCGGCCTTGCCAGCAGAGACCTTCCCCGGCTGGGGTGGACCCGGCGCGGAACCGGCAATAAACTGGCGTCTGCTTTCTTGTTTAATTCCTGTGCTCAGTTTTCAAAGCGGTTGTTGAACCGATGCAACCGATTCGGCACTGGTGGGGCCGCACCTCGAATGCTGTGTTCAGTTTTGGGCCCCTCACTCCAGGAAGGACACTGAGGTGCTGGAGCTTGTCCAGAGGAGGGTAACGAAGCTGGTGAGGGGCCTGGAGCACAAGGCTGGTGAGGGGCAGCTGAGGGAACTGGGGTTGTTCGGCCTGGAGAAAAGGAGTCTCAGGGGAGATCTTATCGCTCCCTACAACTGCCTGACAGGAGGCTGTAGCAAGGTGGGTGTTGGTCTCTTCTCCCAGGTAACAGGCGATAGGACAAGAGGAAACGGCCTCCAGTTGCACCAGGGGAGGTTTAGATTGGACATTAGGGAAAAATTTATCACCGAAAGGGTTGTCAAGCATTGGAACAGGCTGTGCAGGGAAGTGGTTGAGTCCCCATCCCTGGAGGTATTTAAAAAGAAGTGTAGATGTGGTGCTTAGGGACATGGCAGTGTTAGGTTTACTTTTGGGCTCAATGATCTTAAAGGTCTTTTCCAACCTAAATGAGTGATTCTAAGCGTCAGCAGCCTATGTAAATCAGAAGTAGAGTTCAGTAAAGCTACTGTTATTATGGTGGTGTAAAATTAATGTAAATGAGAAATTACTTGGATGTTGTAGCACTGCTTGGGGATAACACAGTGTAAAGGCCTCACTTAAACTCCCGTATAATGGCTTATGATGAAGGAGACAATACAGGCTTTTTGGAGAGACAGAAAGAAACTCCAGAACTTGGCAAACCTCTGATGGGAGAATTGAGAACAACAGACGTACAAAATTCAGAAGTGTAGGGCTGAATGGGAGAACAGTGGAGTCAGCAAGAAACAACGAGGATAGGGAAGTGTTGGCTGGATGTTGATGATCTCGTAAAAGAGAAAAAGGTCTTGGATTCATACGTGAAGTAGAAATTGTGGAAGTGCATCAATAGCCGGCATCTGAGCATGAAAGACTTTGGGGGGCAGTTGTTTAAGGGTGACCTGAAAGACTCCAGAGAAGAGCTAGTCTGAAAAAGAATGGTTTGATCAGGAGCTGTGTTCAGTGCTCTGAGAACCAAATCCTTTGATTTATCTGGGGAAGAGTTTGTAAAGAACTTTTTCTTCCCTGTTTGATCCTCCCCGCATGCTGGAGGAGTTCTCAGCCTGTTGTCTTAGTAACGGTATCCTTTACCACTCAGCATTGTTATCTCCATCCCATCTTAGCGTCTGCCATGCCATGCTATATATAATTGTGTTAAAATCCATGAGACATGCAGTGGGGGTTTTGTGTGTAGCAGGGGTTTGTGCTCATCTTTGTTGTTAAAACAGGAGCTTCTTTGCTTTGAAGAAGCCGGGGCTGGAGAACCAATTGCTGCTTTGCCTGTCATCAGGGCTGCCCGGCACTGGGCTTCTGTTTTGCCTCTGTTGAGATTAACTGTACCCTCCTGCTCAGGTAGTGTCCTTACCTGAACTGGTCCCTGGTCCCACTGTTGGAGAAGAAATCTGTAGGTATACAGGCTGTTGCTTTAGCTGATGTATTCCATAATTTATTTCACTGCGTGGTGACCTACTGGAAGGTGGCAGCTCCTTGAAAGGTGTCGCCTGGGACACTGTGTGCCAGGGTCACTTTGGCATAATAACAGTTATAAAAACAATTCTGAGAAGTCATGTGAAACTTGGGGGAGAAATTAATCACTTGGTAGATGCGTCACTGGCTAATTAGACCAAGATTTATTTCCTCAAGCAAAGGCTGTCTTTTTTAAGTGACCCAAAGTGCTAATGCCAGCTAGCAAAACCTAAATGTTTCTGTTTTCACTGAAGAAGCTCCAAGATCAGGCAGAGGGCAGATTTAGCCAGGTGATACCAGGAAGAGGTGCAATCACAGGGATTCCTTCAGGGAAAAAGGGAACAGGAAACAGCCCTGTCAGGCATCTCCCGGAGCTGCACATGCATCTCCGAGGTACTGTAGTTAAGAGATGGACACACGGCAATTCTGCAGAACACAAGACAGAGGAATCTCAGTATCTTTTATTAGTGACTTCCTCCTCACATTAGAGCT